GGTATTTTTTCAATTGTCAGTCGCAAATCACCATATCCTGGAGCCTGAAATTTAAATTTTAGAAATAATCAAATTTTCTATCGTTTTAAGCTTTTGTAAAGCTACACACCTACTAATGCTCAAATTTAGAAATAGCAAATGAATGCAACAAATTTCGGAATAATTACAACAAACCATTCGTTGCAAAGCACTCGTTTGTAAATGGCCTCTTTCTCCCATGCTAGTCCTCCAAACCATATCTAACTTCCCAATTGATGTTCCCTTCCTTAAAAGGCACGAAATATGACCCTTATTGCTATTGTACAATTTTTCTGATATAATATGAAAAAAATAAAGAGTGAAATTTTTCAGTCAAAAAAAGTGATTTTCAAGAAATAGGTTCCAAAAGGTATATATCCCTATCCCTATCTTGAATTTTCATTTTCTTAAATTTCACGAAATCCATTGTAAATAATTATTTTGTCAAAATTTTCCTTAATTAAACCATGTTTCGTCACGAAGCAAAATAACTCATCGATAAAATGAAAGTTTAATGTGACGTACCTAAAATAATTAAGGGAATAATCTGTTGTTTTCGGTTTCAGACAAAACAGATACTGTCGGATATCACTTGGATTGAGATAAGACTGCTCCATACTTTCATTTCTAGAGACATCATTTTCATTAATTAAAGATCACCTTTATGGAAACAAAATGTAATTAATTTGTATTGGCATAGTGATGAGGACAGAATGATTTTGCACCACATTTTTATCCTCATTATATTTCAAAAATAATACAAATCTTGATGGAAAAATATTCTCAATATTAGTTTTTTTTGTATGTCGATGACGTAGACATATTTTCCTTTGCAAATTATGCACTTCTGCTGATGCGAAAAAAATAGTACAGGGTGAAAGAAATGAAAGAAACAATTTAGGTAAAAAAGAATGAAATACTCTGTTTCAGGAGGTGAGATTTCAGAACTTATATAAAAGTCGGATGGTTCCAGGATTACTTTCTCCAGAACCATTGGTAATTCAGAAGTATTCTGAATTTGTGCTTCCAAATAAACATCATTGTTCTGTAAATTTCGTTGTCATAAGAAAAGTTTAAAAAATAAACGTTATGGTTTATTCTTTGCTTATTACAGATCTTATTTCTTTACAGATGGATTCTCTGTCGAGAGCCTTACTTCCATTCTTTGAACATTTTTTCTCTTCTTTGGGTTAGAACTTAATATTTGTTCATGTAAAAAAATATTTTTACAAACTGCACATTAATTTCTAAAATTCTAATCAATTTTCAAACATCTAGCTAATTTACAACGCAAAAGAGCTTACCAGATTATCCTGCAATTAAGATAAATACCACTGATTATACATACCATTCTTCCGCATATTCATGCAAAATTTCAAAACTAATTACATTAAACACGAGGACGAAAATTACGAGGAAAGAATTCTCATCTTAAAGTCAGGTAACATAAAGCATTTTCTTCGTTTATAATTTCAAAATGCAAAACTTATAAGAGAGGAATTAGCTTTGAAGTTTGAAAATGGGACTCTTCACATGTCAGTAGTTATTTCATACACGCGGTAATTAAGCATGCAAACATAAAAGATTTTGATTCTTCGAAGTAAATTAATTGAAACATTTTACTGAAAAGCACAAATAGTGTTTTCAAAATTAAATTTGTCATAACACAGCAAACTATCCCTAGTAAAGCACACTTAGTGGAAAATGATCCATTCTGAATATTTACCTCCGCGTTATAAAACTTTGTCCGAACGTCGATTGGTTTGGTGACTGGAAATTTGAAAAATTTCCGAAAATACATTTCATTCTTAGATGTTTTATAGCTCACGGCACATACTAATCTGCAAAATTAATATAATGAATCCTTTCCATCTTATAAAAATCAATAATAAAGCAAAGATTAATGAAAAATGCAAAATATCCAATCATAAAACATCGAATAAGTGTAGAAAAAGCCTCAATTTCAATTTACCACATACGACTATGATTGAAACACGCTACTAAAAATATTACAAGATCCAGGAAATCAGGTAATTCAAATATAACGAAATGTTAAAACTCAACTCTTAATCAGAGAAGAAAATCACAATCCTGAAGATACCAATAGAATGTATGAAGGTCTCGTAAAAGCGCAATGATTTCGCTGTGGAACTAATTGAAGAAATTTCTAATTTATTGGAAAAATAAATCGGACGATCTTAAGCAATCACTTGACTTACTTTTCTAATAAATTTGAAAGTCATAAAAGGACTATATCTAAATTTATTTCGATATAGTCCTTTTATGACTTTATTTTGATCCAAAAGGTTCAACCATTTTTCTAGTATTCAAATAAATTTACATCAAACAAGACATACATGTGCTGTCCAATTTCTTTGATTTCATGGGTAATAACTTCTCCCAAACATTTCCCTGGTTCAAGCACAGCATTCGCTTCTTGTAGCTGTGACGGTAGAGCATTGCGCTGGCTTGTGGTTTGCAAATCAGTCTGCAAGATATGAAAAGATTTCAAAATCGATAAAATATTTTCACAGAAAGCTGATAAGCTCAAGAGTCATGGAAGATTTGACAAGTTTTTGTTTTTGGAAATTTAAGATATATGTATACATATTTACCTTGACACATATGTCTGTAGCAACCTTATCACTTATATTTTGGACGCAAACATAGAAAGTGAAGGTCTCTCCCAAATAAATATTCCTGCAAAGATCAAAAGGATATTTTTTAAAATTAAGGTTGTGTTTCTTGAAGTCCTTTATCTATTGTGAAATTCCTACCAATCACTGGAAATCACAATTTCCATACAAATTATAGAATGAGATCATATGGCGCTCAAATTTTGTTTGGAAGAAATAAATCCCAAATTTAGCTACACTATCATCGCAGTTTTATAATCATTTGGGTCTTTTCTAATGTCACTGCAGCAGCAATAACCAGTAAACGTGCTGCAAACATTGTTCGATCGACCGTGAATCTTTTATAGACCTACTCGAACTTTTGCGGTGCCATAAGATATTTCCCAATAGGCATATCAGCAGCTTCTTGTCCTGTTAAACGACAAAGAGCAGAACCAATCAGTTGACTGGTTGTATCAGCTGGATCAATCGGCATGCAAATATTTTCGTAGAATTTGGGACGGGCAAGGCGCATAACTACAAAAAATAGTTATTCAGAATTTAAAAGTTAAACATTCTTGGATTAATTGACAAAAAGTCATGATCTCAATTCCATCTACTCCAAAATTCAAAAATAAAAGACACATTTAACCTTTGAGTGTCAGAATTTGTTCCTTCATCGCTTCGGCCATGATGCCAAAACACAATTCACAATTTTTCAGTTGCTTACTTTGAATATTACATTAGAAAAAATATATGCTCCTAAATTTTATAATTAATACATATTTTTATTCAGCAATTTCTGACGCATTGCTCAAAAATGGACTAACAGTGCTAAAGATCCCTCATTATTACATATTATTAATTCACTATTTAATCAAAACAAATTATTTTGTCAAAATGTAGAAGCGCTACTAAATATTCTTAAAAATCATTTTGATGAGATCCATTCTAAATTCTGCTATCTTCTTCATCCGTCAAAAGTACCGAATAGCTGATTAAGGGAAAAAGTAAATAAACGTAATCGATCCTGATCCGGTATAATATCTATGTTTATATATAATGACTTGAAATATTGCATATATATAGAATAAAATATATGGTTCTAGTTTGCTGTTAGATTACGCAACTGCGCCTGTTCCCAGAATTTTAACTAGAGTTAAATATTTCGTTCCAGATCAATTTTAAATTGTATACTATTTTAGAATTTTGTTTAAAATTTTTGAGTCAAAAATGGAATTATAAATTATTTGCAAGACTACCTGGAACATATTGCACAATACTACTACTTATCAAACACAATGTTTCGTCATATCAGTGTATTTGAAATCTCAACCACTTTTTTATACGTCAACGTAACCCAAAGAGTAATCAGTGTTTTGATACCACTGAGATTATTGTCCCATAGTCACACAGAACTTTCAACTTTTATTGGTCATACATCGAACTTTTCAGTATGAAATACTTTGACCACGTAAAATAGGAAAAACAAGAGTGCCTTCACTGTGCATCAACAAGTCGATTGCAAACAGGATTATATGATAAAAACAGAATTATTCAAACATTTATTTTGCAGAAAAATTGAATTTTATCAAAGAAAAAGGTAACTGAACAAATCAAACTAAAATTAGGAAAATCAAGCGTAGTTGTTTATGCTTAAGAGTAATAAGTTAACAAAAAACGACCAGTGTTTATTCCATCTTTTTCCGAGTGATTCCAAGCCGGCTGACCAATGGAAAAAGCCAGATTTTCTTTTTTTTTACTCAAAAAAATGTAATTAGTATACATAAAATAACAAGTATATATTAAATATCAAAAAAAGAAAATCATTTAACGAAAAAATGCAAACATTTCATACCCACAAAACATAGCAATAGATTTTTTTTCTCTGTAAATTTTGCATCACCACAAATGTGCTCTGTCTCATCACTAAACTAATAGAAGATTCATGAATCGTAATTCTGAACAGTTGGCGTGCGAACAAGAAGGTTTCAAAAAACAATGAATGATCTAGAAAAACACTTTCTACCAAAGGTACGCTAAGCAGGTGTCGCGAAATTTCAACAGTATTTTCATGCTGCCAGTTTAGCTTCCATTTCTCCACCTTCGTGATGAAAATTTTGTCCGTGTTCATGTTCATGCTCATGCTTGCAATCACCAACTTTAGATTCATTCTTTGATGCTTCATCGAAATCACCAACAAGATCTGGACATATATGCAAGTTTTGAAGAATTTTTAGTTTCCATATCAATACTAAATATTTATTGTAAATTTCTTAATAGTTTTAAACCGGGAGAAAATTTGTTTGCATTACTTGAATTCTTAAAAACTTCGACCTAACCATACTTTCCATTCTTCGTTCCTATTTTAAAATATTTATCTAAACTATCACTTTAATTGATGCAAGAGTCAGTGTTAATGTGCTTGATAATGCATTATCTTTCAAAGATTATGCGTATTATTTCCTTAAACTTGTGAGAATTAACTTGTCAGAAAGATGCCAACCTGGAACATCGTCGTCATCATTAGATTTGAATTGACTAGTAACATTGTTTGCTAACTTTTTCAAATGTGTTAGTGATTCTGCTCCCAACTGATTCAGAATACCAGGCAACATTTCAGTAATTTCTAAAATCATATAATAATAACGTAAAATGTTGAGAGATAATGTAAGAATAAAGTGTTGATTTTATAAATACACAAATAAAAACAAACAAACACATACGTAGAATACGCCATGTGAAAGAACTTACGTTTATTTTCGGCACTTCCTGTCACCGAAAATGTGTTAGCTGGAACAGATGCTTGTACTTTCGGATTGTTGAAATGTATCACCGTCCCATCATCTTTTATCATATTGACCTAGATAGTTTATATAACATTTACAACTTTAGAGTGATTACTGGAAAGCAAACGACATTGAAAAAAAAAAAAAAACATCATATGGAACCTCTTCGATTCCAGGAATGTTTGTGACTGAAAGCTTCTTCAAATTGCTCTGCAATTTTTTGTCATCAGTGGCTGCGGTTTTATGGACAACCTTTTTCTTCCTCCGTGCAGTGCCCTACAACAAAAAGCTAATAATTTCAAAAATGTCAGAATAAAAGTCATTCAGCTTAACGGATAACTTAACGGAACTGATTAAATAAGCTCTACTTTAATCAAAATCAAATTTAACTAGTCAAAAGTAATCTTACTTTACCACCTGTCCGGACCTGCGCTGCATTCTGCTGCAACTTCTTGATTTTTTCTACATTCATGATTTTCTTCGCCTTCCTCCACACTAGGCTGCTGAGTATAAAACGAAAAATATCTATATAAACCTCAACAATCTGAATGATAAACTAATCCGCAATACTCTTCCACGAAAAAAGCTCAAACATAATTTATATTAGCAGAAAAACAAAAAAAAGTAGCATATTTGTGATCCATCAGCCTGCTCATCAATAATGGAAACTGTTTCTCTAGATAAAACAAGCTCTTAAGTCAAGATTAGATAATCGATCAACTGATAATCTGTGGTCGCACAACAGATCAGTCTGATCCCTAACAGTATGCCCAATATATATAACATGCCAGTAAGAAATGAACTAAATCAGACTACTTAGGTCGATTCCTTGCCTCATAACCATTTCAGAAGTATTCAGTTTACGTTGATCCGCTTACGATCACAGATTATCAGTTGATATTTTTCCCTTAACTGGTTTTTTAAACTGTTCTTAACTTTCATAGGAATGTTTCACAGGAATTATTCATGCTTACTGTCACATTTTCAACGCAATAAAGTGCTTCTGTTTTTATAAAAAAAAGCTGAATGAGGGTGAGTAGATAGGAACATAAATAGTGAGCAAGAATAGCGATCACTGTTTAGCAATTCGGGACGCTTTTTTCAACCAGTCATTGAAGAACGTAATTTTCGAGGTAAAAGGTTTGAATCCATATCTCATTGAATTACAACGGAAAATATATTTCCTTGAGCTTCCATCTTCTAGTTCACTGAATTACATGACATTAACCTTTGATACTTGGAGGATACAAATAACACCCAGAAGTAAACAAATCTCATTGTAATGGGCCAAGAAACTACCCCACCTTCACTCGATATGGGAAAACAGAAGCCTCCCTAACCTTCATTGGTCTGTAACGTAGCGAGATTATTACCTTTTCGCAATATACTCTATTCCCTGTCCACGTTCTCACTGTTTCATATCTAATTAAGTGAATTAGTTAGTGATGATAGTGGAAGGGGTCCTATTGTTTTCTGTCCTGACAGTTGTTACAGATTTGATATTCCGAGAGAAATTATAATAACTCCCTTCGTGGCAAAGAATTCAGGTAATCCCGGAAAAACCAGACGGCCTCCACATTCTATCTAGTCTCCTATGGGATACAGTGCAATTTTCTTCTCCTTTAATCTGTGCTATCATACTTCAAAACATTTCATCGACTGCAGTTATCTAAACCTAACTCACATAATCTCTCACTTTCAAGCCACGTGCACTGACCCCTGGTTGTGGATATATCAGGCTATGAAAACCAGAGAGTCGTTGGAGATTTCAAAACTTCCCCGGTTCGCCGTACCTTTAATTGCAACGGTGAGAGGTGCAGACCTGCACTCTAATTTAACATCCATGTCCACTATATAAATAGTGCTACGAACCTGATTTCCTCCTTAAATTTTATAAAATCTAGAACGATGATTGAAGCTGATTTCTAATGCTAAACCCATAAGTCGCCATGTTCTTTTCTAACGGACCCTTATATCGTGACAGTGCCTGTCGTCTACAAATATCCTCAATAACACACAAAGGGATCACTATTCTTCAGTTTCATTTTAATTTTCTTCCAACGGATGTTAATCCGGCATTGCGGTAAAAAGTATGCTCTAGATTTTTTTTAAACGACGGTAGACCTCTGTTGCACATCATACTATACAAGGCAAGAAATTTTCAACTTCTCAACATAACGATTTCCTGCTTCATTAGAATTCTACACTTTTCTTTAATGTAGACTATCGCACAATATTTACAATTGTTGATAAAATAGAACCCTCCCACTAATTTAAGAACGAAATAATCACAAAAAATTGTGTGGCTGAATAACAAGAAGTCATTTTATGTAAAGGCAAACAATGATTAAATCAGTTAATGTCATTTCAGACACAATTTCAATCCGGCAATAGACATATCAACGATAATAGAAAGATTTTATGTTGACGAAGCATACTTCGAAATGCATATAATAATGCAAAAGTAATAAATTCCCTGAGAAAACCTGAGTTTCTCGGACCATGCAAATAGTATAAAATAATATCTATAAATTTGCAGAAAAGGAATAAACTATCCAATAATGTATTAAACCGTATGTCTTGTTTATATTGAAATGCAAATCAAATTTTATATTTCAATAAAGCTTTGCTTTTTTCTTATTTTGAGAAAAAATGTTTCTCCGAAATCTACGACTTAGGAAGACACAAAATTACGACGAAATCAGTAGTCAAAATTTTCTTGTGTCCTTTGTATATAAATTTCTTTTTCGGAAGCATTCATTTGAGATACCAATTCGGGTGTAATTTCATCTAAATAATATTTCTTTCCGGCGACTAAGATAACTTCGTCATCGTCACTTTCCATACCAGCCGGCTCATATGCAGTTTCTTGAGTACTTTCTGTAAGAGACATTTCCGGTTTTACCTAAAACGATGAAATTTTCAGCATTTAGACGCGCACTAGTAAACTAGATATCAAATGGAATTAAGCAAAATAAATCAGTTCTTGTAGAAACAACGTCTTCTTTGCTAAACAGTTCGAAAATTTCTGCCTATTTAATCTGATCTCCTTCATTCCTTTTGTCGGAAATCTAAATTCCGAATATATTTCGTAAGCCAAAAATAATTTTATGCTGATCTTTGGTATCTTTCAACAAAATTTTGAACAAATGAGTCATTGCGTAATTGTTATCGTAGTTATCTGATTGAGGAGTGAATAGTCACTTGTGTTATATACCAATTAGTTCCGAAATCATCCACTACATACATATTGATGCTATCAATCCTGTCTACTCTTTTGTAAACCATAAAGCAGAGTGGCATTATCAAACACCATTTCGTAAGTCTCCTTTTCTAATTTTAACTAAATTAACCTTTGCCTATCGGGACCGTCCAAAGGGGTCCATATATAAATCCTTCATTATTAATGAGGAGGAGGGAGCGATTGGATGTTTCCAAAAATCATTCCGTGTGGCTCTATCTCTTGCTATACATCACAACAATCAGCCTCATCAAACCTTTATCATACTAGTTGGTTCTCCCCTATCGTCATCACAAATTTCTACCCAAACTATTTTATCTGTATAACTTTATTTGCAAAAATAAAGTTCACAGTCATCTCGTGTTTTGCACAATTAGCAGAAAGAAATGATCACGGACTGTACCAATAAATAGTCCGGAAGAAGTTCCCTGAGTCACAACCAAACAAGCAAGCGACTTCACCGTCAATAACTGAACATTGACCAACCCACAATTTACAAACAAAATCAAACCTCTCCCGAAAAAATCCCTCCGCTAATAAGCTCTAAATTACTTCAGAAGTTCTCCCAACAATTCACAACACCTTTTTCCTATCATTTCCAACTAAAACGTTACAATGAAATATTACAAACCTCTTCGAATTCAGTGACCAATAAGCTATCGATATCATTTTTGCTCTTTTCGGGACCTATGATTCCATTCGAATCTGCAGGACTGTCGGAAGAGACCAAAGAATCTGTTGGTTGTTCATCTTTCTAAAAAAGAAAACATTTGCTATTTATTTTTATGGTCCCGGAGAATTGATATCAAACATTATTCTTTACCAATGAAGACTTCAAAAAAGTATACCTGATTACTATGAAGCCAGGGTACAAGCTTTTTCGGCTCGATATTTGGAGTTGCACCATCTTCTACTATGCTCACCATGATGCTATTTTGATACATTGTGGATCGTGAAGCAGTTGTTTGATCGTCAAACGATCGTTCACCAACAGCTATTACTCGTTTTCCATCCGCTAAAAACTCAAAAAGTCGAAAAATAATAAATGAAAGTTCAGCAAGACAAGCAATAACTTACGTTCTATTAAGATATTATCCACAGCTTTAATTGACGGTTCGACAAGATGCCTGGCGAGACGTATACCATATAAGCTTTGCAACATTGAAAAGAATGGAGTCATCTGCTCGTTGAAACGTGCTAAAGATG